TTAGACAAAAGTGCTTCCAATCAAAGGTTTGGAACGTCTTTTCAATATATTAAATGATCTCTATGAATTTGTGTAATTGGTGGCAGTTATTCTTATGCTTTGTTTTTTGTTTGATTTGCTTTTATATATTTATATAACCTAGACTAGCAAGGCAGTTTACTTGCTTAGAGCTTGCAAATAGAATGTTCTTGCTTTCAAAGACCAGTAAGGGGCAGGGAGAAACAAGAACAATTGGATTTAAAGTTAAAGGTTCACTTTTATTTTCCCAACAAAGAAGATACTCAAGCTTCTTGAAGTATGTACTTGAAAATCAGCCTCAAGTGACGGTGAAGTCTATCTTCTAGGACAATTCATTACATCGAGAAGTAGAAGTACTATTAAGGAATAAAATTGCTTTTTTCATCTCCCATTATTGTTATGCTACTACATCGACTCCCAGTTAACTTCTATTACTGTGAAGATTCTGAGGAATGTAAATGATGGAGGAGCAGAAGTATCAATGATTTATATTTTTTCCAAACCCTTAATATTTATGCTAATGCCTTGACTCCATTAAACTTCTATCACTCTGAAGAATTTAAATGTTTTCAGTAAGCAGTTTTTCACAAGTGACAATGTGTCCTATAAGATTTTACTAGGTCAATTCTTGTGATACCTCTACAAAGAAATTGGATTAAGGCTGCAAAGTTTTGATGCCATTTTCCAGGGGCCCACCTTAATTGGAATCTCATTCGCATGCTTCTCTTCATATAAAATAAATATGATACCTGTAGAACATATGGTGTGAAAATTTTAGCAGCTGAACTAGAATTGCTGCTTAGTGTTTTTTTTTTTTTTTTTTTTTTGGGGGGGGGGGGGGGGTGGGTGTTGGTGGTGTCTTTTCCTTAGCACTTATTAATTTTTCTGTTTAGGTAAGGATGGTCTGATTCAAACTTTACCTGGAAGGATTTGGGAGGGAAACTTTTATTATTTGAGTAATCTTTGCATCTTTGTTACAGATCTGGTTCACGACCTCCAATCAATAAAGGAGGCGGAAGATACAGTAAAAAAAGGACCTACACTGAGGATGATGAGTTGGATCCTATGGACCCAAGCTCTTATTCTGATGCTCCACGTGGTGGCTGGTATTTACTACTTTTACTTAGATGATTTTTTCCCTTTTCCTTTCTGTGGCTGTGAGGATAACAATGAAGAAGAAACAGGCATTTGGCCATCTTTAATCTAATTTCAACGGACTATGCATATGATTTGGCATGCTTGTGCGTAAGTTAGGGGAATGTGGTACCATGTTCTCATTTTGTATTAAAATAAATAAATAAAAGTGGAGTAATTGTCCTTTGCATGTTTACAGGGTTGTAGGCCTCAAGGGGGTACAGCCACGGGCAGCAGATACTACAGCGACGGTATGGCCACTTTACCTTTTTTTTTTTTAATGGTGTAAATTTGTACTCAATCATGTTTACCTTTCTCCTTTAGTTGTCTGCTGAAATATAATGTGCCTATTGTTTATCAAATATGGAGTTTCAAGTAGTCAGAAAGCACCCTTGAAAGTTAACATTGCTTTTGGGCCTTTTGTTATAACTTGAAATGCACTATCTACTTTGCTGAGTTCACTTACTTTCTAGCCTTTGTCAAGTTGTCTCTAATTGATTCATACTTCAGATTTGTTTACTAAACTAGAAAGCATGTAATCTTTTGTACCTTTAATTGTGGACTATCACATTTCTCAAAGAAATTAATCTGTTTAAGCTTTTATAAATTGGGATGAGAACTGAGGAATGAGGATTTTGTTAAAAGAGTTGATAGTGGAAAATCTTTTATTCTATTCCCTTGTAACTAGTGTATTGTGTACTACTTCGTATAATAAAGGGTGAAGCTGTCTTGAGCTGGACAAATATGTAGGAGGGCATAACTACATACCATTCTACTAAGTTTTAACTGTTCTGTTGTTTCAAAAACAAAAACAAAAAAATGAATATTTTATGAGTGAATTTAATAGAACGCGCCTCACGCGCCTAGTTTTCAACTCCTCCAGAAAACCAACAGAGCCCCTGTTTTCAAAAACCGCTCGTCACTTTCAACAAGACCCCGACGGATCGCCGGCGATCGGAGAGGTTGGGCTTGCCCCTCAATCGCCGGTGAACCCCTCCCCCTCCCTTATTCAAGCCCTCCAAGTACGACAAAGGATCATCGGAGGCTGTAATTTGAGCCAACGCTCCTAGCCATCGGAATACGTGGTGCTCCGGTTAATACGTGGTGCTCCGGCTGCGGTCTGCGGGGAACACTGCCAGCGGTGAATACGTGGTGCCTAGTTCCTTGCGGTAGCCACCTGAGTTCTAGTTTTCAAAGCAACCGGTCCGTATTTATTATGATTTCCTTGTTTTTATCGTTTTCTTCTTAGGTTCTTTATCTCAGTAAGTTAACTATGGATTGCAAGCCTCTAATGGATGCTCTTATGGTCATGCATTTGAATGATGATTATGATGATACTATTGTTAATTTCGCTCTTAATAATTGTTCCCGTAATATCTATTTTCAAGCTAAACGATTGAAGGATGAGGGTAATGTATGTTTTAAGAATGGTGAGGTTGTTGCTGCCGGTGCAAAGTACGATAGAGGCCTAAAATTCCTTTGCTTTGGTTTACCAAGTAATGTGGATGATAGTGTCATGCTCTTGAATTTAGCAATTGTCTTGGAATTGTATCTTGTAGCTTGTGCCCTCAAGGTCTATGACTATAATCAAACTAAGGAGCTTTGCTCCTTAGTATTAAAGTTTGATGGTAGCAATGTTAAAGCTCTTTATAGAAGGGCCTTAGCAGAGATCAAACTTTACCAATTGGAGGAGCCGTATGAAGATCTTGGCAAGGCAACCAAGATAGAGCCAAATAATAAGGATATCCTCCGCGAGTTGGACAGGTTGACGGGACTATGTGGTCAATCTAGGAAACTCAATGGTAAGAGGGGTGCTGAGAATTTTGTCCTCACTCACTGTACTCACACGAAAAAGGGAAAGGTCATTGAACCCCGTGTTAGCTTTGTGTGCAAACAGTCATCTCATAGTGAGGATCAAAGCAGTATTACTAGTTGCCTTCCCACCGCAAATCAGGCTAGTAATATGGAAGTAGAAAACATTATTCCACCACAACTCTTATGCCCCCTTGGAAGATAAGGAAGAAATTTTTTCCCACCCTACAATGAATAAGGAGCAAGACACTTAAATGATAAGGATCGTGAGACCATTCACTACTTCTCCAATAGAAGGAAAAGAAACCAATCCCTTAAACTATCCACCCTATCTTACTCACAACTCAAACAAGGGAAAACTTTGAATTTCTTGAACAAATCTTTTGATTCATGGATGACCGTACAAATGAAGGAGAAGACTACTTGAGAGAGGCATCTTGAAAACCACAAGCCTACTGACTCACAAGGTCCTTATGCTTTGTGGATGCCATCTAGTTTGGCGCGTCTGGGTGAGAGGAGAAACAACAAAAAATATCAAAAGGAAAAGGTCATGCCTCCCCCTGACTTAAGAGTGGTCAACTATGATATTAGGCCAGGAAATACCAGTCCTACTCGGAACGTGGACTTGAGATCTGAGGATGGGAGTGATGTGCCAGCGGAAGATTTAACCCCCACTAACCTTGTGGAAGTGGAATCCGTAGGCTCAAATGAAGATGACCCCATGGCTCTTGAACCCAATGTAGTACAAGTTATCCCCACACTCACACACACTACTTTCGAGTTCTCCGCCACAAAAAGGAAGTATGGAAGGTCTCATAAGTCAAGAATGAAGAATAGGAAAGGTAATTTATTTTTCAGGTATTGGCATTACAGGTCCAAGAAACGCAAAGGAGCACACTTTGAGCATCCAAAGACTATGATCGATGAAGAAGTTTTGGAACCCTCACATTTGCATTGTTTAGCATGTTTCGAAAATTGTACCCCCATCCCTCGTTTATTTCCCTGTTTTAATTCTGTAAAGAGAGTTAAACTCTCTCCCAGTCCCTATTTGTACGCAGTTGGTAGTCCCGAGTCTGTTGGGAGTTAGTCTCCTTTTTCTCCGCTGTCAAAAAAAAAAAAAAAAAAAAAAAAAAAAAAAAAAAAAAAAAATTCACTGTTCTGTATACCAGGATAGTCATTGCATTAAAGGCTACATTACTAAGGATACACCCAACGAAATATTCTGTATCCAACACCTCCCTTTTTCTCATCTCCCTGGATTGTTTTGAAGTGGTATAAGATCAAAAAGACGGGGAAAAATAGGTGGATGGATTGGGACAATGAACTTCTGTTATTGCATTTTTCCAAAGATTTCATGTCCATTATATAAATCATTGGTGTTGTATTTTTCCAGGGCCCTCTTTTCCAGCAGCGTCCATACCCTTCTCCAGGAGCAGTGTTGCGTAAAAATGCTGAAGTTGCTTCAATAAAGAAGAAACCGGGATCTAATTACACACCGATATCTAAGAGAGGCGATGGAAGTGACGGACTGGGTGATGCTGACTAAATCTCAAGAGTGTTCTTGGCAATTCTGTGGTGGTAAATGGTTTTTCCCCTGCAGGGTTGTGTCCAAAAATTAGTGTCCAAAATCTGAAGTGCCTAGTCACTGCATTTGTAACTTTATTTTGTGCTTTTTGAGTTCAAATGCATTAGTATCAATGTCATATATCTGTGCTATATAGCTAGATACTTAGGTTAAAATTAATCTCATTCAACATAAGGATCAAAAAAACTTTTTCATTTGCAAGAGAAGGCGATATGCAATCCTCTTAGTGTAATATTTTTGACTTGTAGACTTCTTTCATAGTGTAAGATTATTTTTATTCATGGAAACATTACTTGAGTCAATTTTAATTCTATCTTATTTTTTGGAATCACAGTTTTCATGTTCTAATTCGCGCGTGTCATCTTTACGTTCTTTGGGGTACAAAAGGGTTTGTGTGTTTCACTAACTATAAATCAAGTTGGTCAGAATGAGGGGGGGGGGGGGTGGGATCAATTCGAAAAAGCAAACCAGTACAAATTTACATTGATTTGTAACTTGATTTCACAATTTCATTATTGAAGTTTAGTTAGTTGTATTTTTGGTATATATGTTACCTTATGTAAGATGAATTGCATGTAGTTCTTGTCGATTGTGCACAAAGCTGAGATTCTCCTTCCTATGCAACTCTTAATATGAGGGTCTTAATAGAGAATTGTACAATAACGAATTTGGTTTTTTTTTTTTTTTTTTTCGAATGAACCGGTGAATATTAATACAAACATAATCCGTATGACATGATAAGTAGTATAAAACATACAATTACTAGAAATCTACTCACAAGAAGTTCATGAAGTTTCTCTTATAAATATGACACAATTTTTAACATTGTGGACAGTCTTTGCCTTATTAAATTAGGCCTCCTATCCGCAAAGCTTCAAGCCAATGCCTCAATTTTTTTTAAAAAAAAAAGTTTCTAAAATCTGGTTCACCTGTCTATATTGTTACTTAACTGAATTTTTAGGTATAATGGTGAGATTATATATGTGAAATTGCTAATAACAAACATGAAGAACCATAATGCATGATCCACTTTGAAGCAAGGTCTAAAATCCAACTGCAATTTAAAGCCTGCACTCTTAAAAGCGAGGTTTCGAGGCAAAACTTCAATTCATCCTTGGTAAAGAGTTTGTAGCTCAGCAAGCATATACCAATGGAACATGAATTCAGTTATAGAGTAATTCGCCTCAACCACTAAGATATATGTTTTTCAAGTACCTCACACTCGATTTTTTGAAACGAAACTAGCATTTCGCCTAGGTGATATCCAACACTGTAATATTGCTGAAATAAGCTCCCTAAAATTGAAGTTCCTCCTACAGGACTAGGTAACACTGCCAAGCAAAACATACCATCTTCCACCTGCAAGAACAAACTGTCAACGTCCAAGAGCACATTCACCTCTCTTTCGAAATGAAAAATCAGCCCACGAAAATTTCTTATGTCGTTTATTTTTCCATTATAACATCGTTCATAAGGAGGATCAGGCCACACTACCATGACTAATCCAAGTTCTTTCTCTAATTCCCCAACCAGCTCGTAGTATGCATATGGTGCTAGGAATGTCAATGTAGTCTCAGCGTCGATGATCACTCCACCACCTAAAGGACTTGGCTGAAAAACCTCTGGTGGAATCAATAGCTTCCTTTTGCCTATACTTAGACTCTCGAGCACTAGATTGTACTTCCCATCAATCACCTTTAAAGTGGTTGTTTGCCCTTCTAGGAAGAAGCCGTTTCCTAATACTAAAAGGCGGTATGCTTCAGGATCACTATTGTTACCTAAGCAATAGGTGAACTTAGGCTCGGTTATTGAACTTATTTGCTTTATTAAGGATAAGTTATGATATCCAAGACCAAGAATTCCATTGTTTTGATTCGTCGTGCTTTCTTGGTCATACTCACAGCCGTAGATGACATTTAGGGAAAAGGCGTCACCATTTGAAGTCTCGAATGCAAAGACATCACTTCCAAGAAGACTATTGGAGCGATAACTAAATGTACACGAGTTAGAAGAATCACAAGCATTATTTGGTACAAGAGCACAATTTGAAGAAGTACAAGTGATGTTATGATAAGTTGTGGAGATTATTTGATTGGTATCGCAGCTAATGCAAGGCTGCAGGCACTGAGTTAAAACTAGTGCGCTTGCAGTGTCCATAGAAGCAAACATCTGAGACGGAGGGGTTCCAACCGAGAGCTTAACAAAGTACTCACCATCATCTGCTTGCACCTTTCCTTGGAAATCACCTCCATCAACAACTCTATCAATCAAGAAAGAAAGGCGGGCTTTTGACCTCACAAAGGAAGATCTAACGCGATCATAAGGGCTCTCTTGGGGATTGTATAGAGGCGAGAGGGAGGAGTCACGGTGAATGAGGCTTAAGTGAATGCTTCCTTGTGATGGTTGAGATGAAGTCAGTGCAAAAACAGAAGATACAATGACAAGTATTGTCTTTGTTGTTAGGTGAGTTTGTTTGTACATTGTTGTCAAAAGATTTTGATGTGAATTGTTAAGAAAACCATAGATGTCAGCTGTCTTATATACTTGCATATTCAAGCTAAGTACATGAAAATTTCGTTGTCTACCAGAATGAACAAATTGGATTACTTTGTTCTTTACAGATTTAAGGTTAAAATGATTAGTGTTAGGACTACTGTAGGAGAAAAGTAGATACAACAAGTCAACAACCCTTCCCCCCTCATCATTCTGCTCATAAATAAATTATGGAGTAATATTGTCTTGAAAGGTATTAAACATGAATAATAGGAAAATTATAGTTTGAATTGTAATTTGTAAGAAAATTGACATAATAGCAAAGATTATTGAAATACTTTCATTGATGTTACTCATCCAGTAGGCTGTATTATGGAATATTAGAAATCACCCTGTAATTAATGATAATTCTAGCACGTATTCAAGATATAATCTGCCAAAGGAACACCATCTGAATCAGAGCAGTATCGGGTTATATCAGCATCACAGTTGGCAACAGAACCAGTTTTTTGTGCTACTGTCTGTCAAATTCTTCTGGAGTTCTGGGACTTGGAGTCTTAGCTGCATCGCCTGTTCTGGATGTTCATAACAGGTCGAATGAACAAGTATATGTAGACAATGTAGTCACGATGTGTGAGCATTTAACGTAAAAAACTTGGGTCATTTAATCATGTTCAGTGCATTTCACTCAACTTGAATTTACAAATGTTGTGCTCAGAGGACCACTAATTTACATTTCATCTGCAAATTTTTCCTCTGCAAAAGTGTTCCAGAATGTACTAATGAAAATATTTAGTAGCATTCGGATTGGAATAATTTACTTTTCTGATTGATGAACACAGAAAATTTTGATTTTCTCAGAACATATAATTTTCCCATTATATATGTCAAAGAATGCAGTATTCAGTTGTGAATTTTTTTGTACAAAGTTTCAACTAAAGTGGAGCAATTATCAGTTATCGGTTTTCATGAATCTACATGACTAAGAGCCTCTAAGTGACCAAGACGCAGACTTTGGCTAGTGAGGACTGGTCAAGAAACACAAAGGGGAAAACCGTATTAAGAATACAAACCATTAAAGAGAGATTGAAGATTGAACAACATTGAAGTATTGACACCTCTAGAGGACAGGTGATCTTCAAGACTGCAAAAACGTAGCAGAAACTGATAATTGGAAGCATTAGGGATCATGAATGGAATGAAGGAGACATCTCTACGCCTAAATTGCACCTTATCAGAGTAACCACATAACACAGTGCCCACCTACATCAGACTAGCAGTGCTCCTTGGATAGCAATCTTACACGATTAGCTAAAAGAAGAAAATGAAACTACCAAATTGCTAACCTCCTCCTGCAATTATTCAACATCCTCAAAGTTGGAGCAAACACAATACGTAGCAACCCCTAACAGCCCATATATGTAAGACTAGTTTCATCAGATGGCAATCTGTTAATAATCCAACCCCAATATACGACAAAAACCAAACATATGGAGTCAAAACTAGAAATTTCTTCAGATCCAACTCTCATGTATCCCTCCACCACCTAATTTATATACAAAATACATCACAAATCCTCAGTGATCAGAAGGACCGGAGCATGAGAGAAGATTCAGACTGTATTATAGAGACTACATAGATTTACTTGCACTAAATGTCTACATTTACCTGGAAAAGGATCGTATTTGTACCAAAACACTACAAAGGAGTCCTAGTCAGTACAGTTTTCATCAAAATGTTAAAATATTTCGCCACTGAGACAGCCACTAATTACCTACCAACCACCTGCTCCACCATCAGACCGCCCCTTAGTGTTGCTCTTGGAACCTGAACCCCATCCAGAGTCGTTACCAGCATCGCCACCAGTTCCGCCCCAGCCACTACTTCCACCACCACCACCACCACCACCTCCACCTCCACTGCCATTGTCACCCCAACCCCCACCGCTGCTACCAGCACCGCCACTTGAGCCCCAGCCACCAGGAAATGCTTCCTCACCCGGAGCATTTTGGACTTTAGCACCAGGAAAGCTTCCCCAACTACCATTGTTCCCTTCTTTATTGTCAGAACCCCACTTGGAACCATGCCCACTGTCCTTGTTGTCTGAACTCCACTTGCCATAGCTGGAATCACCGCCATCTCTGCCGCCGCCATCTCTTCCGCCCCCATCTCTGTTGCCATGATATGAGCCTCGACCACCACGCCCTCGTCCACGTCCACGGCCCCCTCCTTCATATGGCCTTGGAGCTCCGCTGGGATGCCCATCACGGCCTCCATTTCTATCATTCCGTCCTACAAAATAAAATGTGTAAGTATCAAGCATGAGGTGAGACATTCACTCTCAACATGAAGTAAATACAACAGATCAATCTAAACTTCCAAAATCTCAATTTCATAGTTTCATGTTTCAATAATCATCAAAGCAAGGATGTAGGCCTCAGACAATGAAGCTAACCAGCAAGAATACTGCAGAACATTGTATGAAGTCTAGTACAAAAGCAGAGTAAGGAATAGTAATTTTAAAAAATCAAAATAAAACCTTGAAACGTGTGAGAGAAAAAATGACTGGCTAACAAGACTAGCCAGTTAGCCTTCCTATATGAACATCTATGACATGATCCCAGATTAATCTATACAATTCATTTTCTAAATATCCCAAATTTGCAAGGAAAAAAAAAAAAAGGAACTCAATCAATGCACTCTTTTTAGTAATATTTCCCTTCCTATTTTTTTCTCCAACATTGGGCCCCGTAACCACACACTATTTCCTCTCTACTTTATTGCTCTCTATTATCAAAGAGCAGATCCCCAAGACCCCAATGTTTATTGATATGGGTCATTAGGAAAAAGGAAGATCAGGGAAAATTCATGTTTATAAGGCTGATATACAAACTTTGTGTATCAGCCTTCTAAAATAGGGGGAAACGGGGAAACCGCTTCTTGAAATAGCAGTTTAGGGTGGTGAAACCGCTACTTGAAGTTGTACAGCTTAAACAAACAAAAATATGTCATTACTTAATGGCATGAACTTTATAGACAATTCATACAGTCAAGACTGTTCAAAATATACATATCCATTTGGGTCGAAAAAATTGTTGAAGAACACAAACTAATATATGAATAACACTAGACGCTTGAGATATATACTGGCCTTTTGCTATCCTTAACCCAGACAAGAGAAGAGAGACAGGACCCAAGTCAAAGACAAAGTCAAAGTGAGTCGATCATAGTGAGCAAAGTTACCTGTCCTAGAATGTTCTCTGTCAGAAGAACCCCGCCACCCACCATCATTGCTACCTGAACCACCCCATCCACCACCTCCAGAAGAACCACCATTTGCTGGACTGCGCATTGGTACCATAGCAGCAACTGATCGAATCGATGGAGACTCATGAATGGGATCATCAATGTGCCTCTGGAAATAAGCTACGAGTCTGTCGATATTATCAAACATCCTTTTGCGGAATTTGAACCCTTTTGGATATAGACCAATATACTCGTGATGGGGATTTGAACTGCGAATGTATGTGAGAATAAATGTGCCAGGATGCTCATGTGAAATGCCAAAACTATAAACAATTCTTGATGGGAACTCTGATTTTTCAATTCGAAGGAGCTCGTCAACTTCTGCTTTTGTCCCCTTCCGGAACTTTCGATAGTTCAGCATCGCTTTCAGATGAGTAACCAGTGGATCAACATAACGGTCCATGACCTGCAATACAGAAAGCAAACGGGAAATGGTCACGCTTGATATTAGGTGAAGTCAAGTGCTTTAATCCTGGGTGAGGTGCTTTCAAAGAGAAACACATCCTTCTGTTTTTAAGTTTTTTCTGATATTTATTAGGTGTACCTCATTTGATTAAGGCACCAAACATGACCCCTATCACCTTAGTAAGCCTAATACCTTTTTATACATTAGTTTGAGGCCTTTGAGAAATGTAAAAGCCAATTTGGGTAAGTTACAATTCAGAACCCACAGGATCACCAGCAATGTAAGCTGATTAAAGCACCAAAAAGCCTATTGTGTGAATAAGCGTAGCCCAGAGAATAGACATGTATGGATATTGGGCATTATAACATATACCAGAATAATTTATTTTTTTAAAAAAAATAAAATAATTGTCTGGACTCAGAACCACATTAAGCTATCAATAATATTGCTGTAAATTAATACCAGTGAAAATTGGCAGAAACTCTAGCTATCTACCAAATGTCAACTAAAAGCAAGTGCATGCATGATATGCACAGAATCATAATGCATAGAAAACAAATGAATGAAAAGTGAATGGAATACTTGCCTCATCCAGGTCCTCAAAAGTGTCCTCTCCAATTTTAAGTGTTTTACCAATACGAAGCAAGCTTGATATACCTTTGTGGTCCTTTCCGCCTTCAATTATATCCTTGTGGGCAAAAACACCATCATAAACCTTTAAGGTCAAGGTCAAATAAGATGGACCACGAGAACTTGGACGAATGACACTTTCACCAGGATCCTTGTCTGCTAAAAGCTATACAACACAAATAAGGGAAGGTGGATGAGCAAAAGGAATAGAGAATAGGGAATAGAATCAACTCCACAACCAGATGATGCAAAACATAAGAAACAATAAGATGCAGACATCAACTTCAAAAAAGTCTTTTAAGGGGGCCTGCCATGGGAAAATATTTAGTGTGTAATATTAAGCTTCAGGAGCCTTTAAAGGCTTAGATAACATTGAAAATATTAAGCTTCAGAAGCCTTTAAAGGCTTAAATAACATTGAAAATATTAAGCTTCAGAAGCCTTTATAGGCTTAGAGAATGTTGAAAATTGTCCACTACTTAAAAAGAAATTAAATAAACTCCAACGTCCAATAGATTCTTAGGAAAAATTAGACAGCGAGCATTTGAACACATACCTCCATTGCATCATCAGCTGTTATATTCTGAAATCGAGGATGAACAATCATCCTCGACTTGAAATGCTTCTTCGCAAGTTCCTTATCCCTGCGAGCCTTGTCTTTCTCAGTCGGTAAACTGCTACGGTCTTCATGATAGTAAGGGTCCAAGCTCTCAACATTCTGAGGCCCGGTATTCCTCATGTCATTATCTTTACAAGTCAGGACCACCTG